AAACTAACATCTACAAAATAACTATTATTAAACAACTCAATATCTATATCATCCTTAATTTTATTTAAACTACCTATTAGAGTATCTACAAGTTCTTGACTGGAAATTAAATAACTATTTATGTCTCTCACTCGTTTAACTAACTCTGCGTCCGTTTCTTTTTCAAGATGTAGTAGGTCTCTACCGAGATCATTTAGCTTCTTCTTTTTCCACGACAATTCCGTTTGGATATCGATTGGTAAATTAATCCATTCAGAAGGTCTCCGCAGCATTTTTTTAGCACACAAATTGTACAACGTGTCATTTGGTACGGGAACGACGGCACGTTCTAGCATTGTATCTATGCTACACCAAAAAGATTGACATTTGAAGACAAAGTTTTCAAAAAAGGACGCACTCAATTGATTTATGGCACTATAACAGATTGACAACTCTTCAATATTTAAATTGTATTTTTCGTTTAATTTTTCCAAATTTTTTACACTTACAGATAAATTCAATAGGCGTACTAGGTCTTCCATTATAACCGTATATAATGATAAAAACCAAATTACATAAACAGACAAGTATGCTCTTTTCTTTATATTGACACTACCCTACTACCTACAAATTAAATAACAGTAAGCAATTAGGTGTATAATTACCGTAACAAACTTGAATCACAACAATCACTTTTTTTTACTTTCAACTTGTAAGCAGAATGTTAAATATTGACTATTCCTTTGTAATTGTTTTTTATTAATTATGTTATTGAAAGTACAATATCGCAAAAAAAGAGGTATATGTATTATCTTAATGTTATTTCCTCTAAATAAAATTGTTGATAATGTAATTTTTTTAATTGGAATCTATATGAGCTTGGACATCACTTACATGATGATGATGATCTTTATGAGTTAATAAACTCTCAACATACGCAATGATTTCGATGGCACTTATACGTTACAAGTTCTGAAACGTATTATTTCGAATATCTTCCTAATCTTTTTTTATGAATCTATAAAATTAAACTCGAAGATTTTTATTAAAGGCAGAGCAAACCCTGAATCATTTTGTTTTGCTTTCGTATTTTGTCTTTAAAATGTTTGTGATTGTATATTCTATCAAATGAACTGAAAACATATAAATGCACAATAAAGACAGTAGGTACACGTTTTAAAAACTAAATTTCCTTTGAGTTTGAAAGCTTTTAAATTTTGTATGTGTAATTTAGTTGAAGTCCGTTAGCAAGAGTTTTCGGTTATGAGCAATTTTGACTTTTATTTCTATTCGTAAAAAATCATTGTTTATGTATTTAAAGGCAACCAGTAGGTACGGTTAATAAGAGTCCGAGTACAAAAGTGTAGTTTTCGTTAAAAGTTCTGTAACTCAATAGACTATTTACGTGAAAAAATAAAACGAATTTCGGCCTGTTAACTAAAATCTAGTAATTTTCCTAGTTTCAATAGTGAACGTGCAAAAATATTTAAAATACACATTGTGGGTAATGAGAATTTATTTTGGCCTTCTGATCGTTTACAATTAGCAGCGTTTTGAATAATTTGTCGTTGAGTTCCACCGTATGTCATTACACAAATACTTTCACTAGCACAGTTTAATTTGTTTTTCCAACTACACCTTCTTAATTGCATTTTTTCAATTCCTTTCTTATTTCGCTTAGTAAGCGACAGTAGTTGAGAAATTAACATCGATTATTACCAACTAGACTGATACAGCTTCTTAGTAGTGACCTCGTGCAGCCCCCGTTGAGTGTGGATATCTTAAATGCATTTGATAAGTAAGTTGGTTTAAAGCATAGCGGTAGACTACGTGACCACGACCCTGGAAAAACTCGAGGTCAAAGTCCAAGACCACGACCTTGGAAAAACTCGAGGTCAAAGTCCAAGACCATGACCTTGGGGAGGTCAAAGTCCAAGACCATGACCTTGGGAAAAACCCAGTGCTACGACAAGTTCATAGTCCAAGGCCATGACTTGAGGAAACCCATTGCAATGGCCTCGGGAAATACCCAAATAAGAAATGTACGCTCTAATTTCAGTTAGTATTTGACTACCGACTCATTAACATCACCTAACGTATTGTTACAAGTTTTATTAGCCTCGCATAATCTACTGCAGTTTACGTAATTATACAGTGCTAATCTGTGCATCTCTCTTTCTTATGTGTTAGGGTGTGTGTGAGGGTGTGTGTGTGTGTGTGTGGATAAACTTGGAAAAAACAAGGATTTTCAAACAAAAACTAAGAAAAAGTAAGTACACAAATATTTTCTTGTTTTGCTTGCTTCTCGCTTTGCTTTTTCCTCTTCTTCTTCTTTGTAAAATTTGAAATGTATGGATTACCATTTTCTAAGAGTATGTACTTAGATTAGGTTTGTAATAC